GTGTGCTGTGACACTGGCCACAGGGCACTGCTGACTGCTTCAGGTTCCAGTATTTTCCATGTGTTTTGGATGCACAGCATTCCAGGTCCTCTTGTTGAGAAAGCCAGCTTTGAAATACCACCAAGTATTTCCAAAAAAAAAGCAGGAAACTTGCCCAAAGCTCCTGTGAATGCTGAAATAAAGCATTGAACCACACACCTGTGGCTGACCTTCCCTTAATATCAGTGCCTAAGAATAAGGTTTTCAAAGGCCATTCTTAGCCTAAGATAAATGAACAGAAAGCACACTGAGCACTGGTGTTCATGTATTTCTTTGTAAACCTCTTAAGTTTTATGACATTTGAGGATTTTGCAGCAATGGAAAAACAACTTAGTGGATTTAAAAAAGTTAAGACTGTCCAGTGCTAAAAACAATTCACAGTAATAACATGAACAGATCAGTTGAAGTATCAGATTGATTTTTAAAGTTTGACAATATCTCAGGGAACAAGATAGTTGTTAAAAAAACAGACAGGAGAGGAGGAGCTCTGTACTCATCCCAAAGTTAGTACTTTTCCTGACTTTGCCATTCAATTTGTGTCTGGGGAGTGTTGGTGAAGAGCAGATGAATAGTGCTGCCCCTTCAGAGCCTAGCAAGGGGAGCTGAGGAGTTGGTCATGGAAGCTGCTGGCCTGGAGCAAGGAGAGCCTTGCAATAAACAGTTCTAACAAAACCAGGGGTGAGATGTCCCTGTGCAACAGATCAGTTCCCAGGCACAGAAAAGTGGATCATCCCCAGGGCCAGCAGGAGCTGCCAGTGGGACTGCTTCACTAGCATAGTGTTTTTCCTCATCACCTGCTTTCTGATAAGCAGGTTTTGCCTTGGATTTGGGGCAGCCTGGAATGCCATGCTTGAATTAAAGGAGCTTACCATGTGATTTTGTCCAAATGAAACAACCTGTAGGTACAGCACAAGTAGCTCCATGAGCACAAGCCATGCAGCTCCAAGCTTGGTGTTGTTGGCTTTCAAGCTACAGAACTATATTCAGAGTAGATCAAATCTCTGAGGTTTTTTTAGTTTAAGGTCTCCCTGTGTGGGAAGAAGAGATCAGTGAGTTGTTCCTAAGCTGTCCTCAGTGACTGTCAACAGTATTTTTATTTCATTCAGGTAATTCTGTATTCCCTAATTGATTTTTTTTTCCACTGATTGTCATTTTTTGCAACAGTGGTGCAAGCTTAGTCAAAATGTTGATTAAGGCTCTTTCCCCTTTCCTAGGAATTGGTTCCATTGAAAACGAAAAGATCATTTTAGGTGGCTTATGTGTTGCAGTTTGGAGTTTCTACACCTCTTTGACTGATCTACCAAAGTTTTTCTAAGAAAAAAGTGAGATGTAGAGAATGGGAACATGTATTCACCCCCTAGTCCAGCAGGTTGGAAAGGGTCAATGAAAAGTGCATTCTCAGCTGTGTTCAAGGAGCCAAAGCTAAAAAGAGTTTCAGAAGACTGCAACCCTGGGAGAAAGGAAGGGAGCAGGTGGAGAGGTACAAATAGCCAGAAGGGAGATCTGCCAAGCAAAAAGGCAGCTTAACATCCTTGTGCTGGAATCCAGCAGATTTGGGAACAGGACTGGGCAACCAGCAGGAGGGAGAGAATTGTCCTGGGAGGTGACAGGGTTGTGGGCCCGAGAGCAGCTACATTCATCCTGGAGTTGGCAGCATGAACAGCACTTTGTTATTCCCTGTCACACAGGTGGATGACTGTTAAGCAAGTCTTGACCCCACAGCAGGACACCACAGATGGCAGCCAAGCTCCTAGAGAGAAAACCTAATGCCAGTCTAATTAATATATTTGAATGGATCATCTGGAGAGACTCCAAAGAGTAAGTTTAACTCCCAGAGAGAATAGGGGATGGGCAGCTTTTTGCAGAGGCACCTGTGGAGTGACTAGGAAGCAAACCAGTTGCAATGCAAGTTTCCATATGTGACTTGACCCAGGTTTGTGCTCAGTACCCTCAGCTGCTGGCTGCTAGGCTGTCACCTCCATGGAGGAACGTCAACAAGAACTTGTTTCTCTCATGCACCTTCACTAGTCTCACAGCCAGGACACCATATGAGGTGTCAGTCCATTGCAGCACAACCATTCGTATGAAGCAAGGCAACATTAACTCTGCCTTCACACTTGAGTGAACAGATTGCTCAATAATGAAAAATCACCTCTGTAAACTTGGAGAAAATAACTAATTAGTTCAGTCCAATAATACTGAAATCCAGAGTTACTCTCACCATACACATGACATTACATTTCACAGTGAAGTGAATGGCATAATAATTTAGACATTGTAGTAAAAGTGCACTGCAGGTCTTCGTAGAAACCTTGCTTGATCATCCAGCAGGGAGATGTAATCATGGGGAGTCTGTGCATTGTCTGTGAGATCAAAGTGCAGAGTGTTTAATTAAAAAGAAAAATTGTTCTCAATTTGAGACACTTCTCAGGGTTAGACTGTTTGAAACATGTCCATTATTGCATTAGACAATCTATTCTAGTTTAGGTTAAGTGGCTTTCTAGTGAATATCTTAATCTAATACCACAGTTAATCTTCTCAGACAAGTCTTGAGTGAATGTATAAATACACTCAAATGGCAGTGGCTGTTGGACAAGTGCTTTTCAAGTTGCATTAGTGGTCAAAAAGAGTGGTAAACATCTTGAAATACTGTGTTCTGGTTTGACTTCAGTGATTTCTGAAGATCAGCTGCTATTTCAACAGTACCTCAATAGAGTAGATATATTGCTACTTAAACATATAGTTAGAAAAGCTAAGTGAAAAAAAAATCCAATTAAGGTAACAAGCCATTAGTTCCAGCACAATTTTAGTTACTGAGTTAAAGCTGTGAGTTACTGACTGAAACCCAGACAAATGTTTTGTGTCCTCAGTGGTGTGCACAGGGACAAAAGTCAAGAGCTTCTTGTTTATAACACAGTGCATAGTCAGAATTAAACAGTAGAAATACTTGTTACAGTGAAGCAGGAGCCCCTAAAAGGAGCTGAGCCTCATGTTAATACTTCCTTTTTCAACCCAGGACATACTATGTCCTGTTTTACTTCCTACCTGAATTTAAAAGGAAGTTAAGTCCCATATTAGTTTTCTGTTGAGAGAGCTGAGGATTAGTGTGTGGTCATGTGTATGTGCTGAAGATCACTGGAGTAGCATCGACCACCTGCTGAATTGCCAGCTCCATCCTCTCCCGCTTGAGTCAGCTGCCACAAATTATGCCACTTTCTTCCCAGACCTGCAGTACTTCCCATACAGAAGTAGTTACAGGGATAACTTTTCATCCTGGACAAGCAGTTAAAAAAAAGTCTGCAGTCAGTCTTGAGTTTAGCTCCCACACCCATTCCCTACCTTGTTCTCTGCTACAGAAGGTCTGGAAATGAAACTTACTCACCTGAATCTCTAGGTTGCTCAAGTAACTGACCCACAGACCACGTTGCTCTGTCATGGAGCATCAGCTGGGAGGGCCTTGTTTTACAGGAGACCATGAGAACTCCAACTTGCCAATGCAGTTGTTCAACTCCCTTACTCTCTCTCTCCCTCTTCACCCTCCCCTCAATGTACCCCAAGATTTTCTTTAGCTATTATCCACTCTCAGTGGATTAGTTTCATGGAACTGCTGGTACTGAAGCCTCAGTAACATTTCAGATGCTTGTTCTTCCTAGCAGCTCAAATACTGACCCACCAACTGGATGTCCATTAATCACCAGATGCTGGAGGCAAACCACTGAAGGTCACCTGTAATCCATTCTGGTTTACATATTCAGGCTGCTTTACCATGCAAAGCAGAAAAGAGTTACTGCAGCTTTTGAAGGAAATGTTCCAAACCAAAGTGCTAATTTATGCACTTGCAGATCTCCTGCAAAACTATACTCTACAGACCAGGTTCACTCCAGGGAAGCTGCCATCAAGTGTCTGTAACCAAAAATACAAGAAGCAGGCAAACAGAGCAGCTTTCTGTCATGTAAAAAAAATAAAAAAAATAAAAAAATAGGAACTGGTTGAAGCTGGAAGTACACAATCTGGCTTTATTAGAAGGCCACAACTTTGAATAAATTCTTGTTCAAAAGCCTATTCTTGAAAAAAACATAGAAGTTTAAGCTAAGTAGTGGCTATAATACTGTGGAATTGTTCCTAGGTAGGCAGAATATGCCACCTACCTCTTACACCAGAAGGAACCCCATTCCCATCACAGCAGTCCAGGTTTTTTTAAAACCTGCTCCCACCCTGACAAAGTAATTCATTAAGCCCAGACAGTCCCTGCTGCCCTTTGCTCTCCTTTAAGCAGGATGATCTGACTAAAAGGGACCTGCCTGCCAAGCCTTCCTTTGAGCTGAGGTGATTCCTGGGAGGTAGGGGGTAGAGAATGAAGCACTTGGGGGTTAAGCCTTTGTTACTCCAAGGAGTGCCAGCCACTTCTCAGGAGTTCTTTAGCACTAAGATTACAGGTCAAGTAACTCACTTCTATCAAAGTTATTAAAATGAGTCAGTTCACTGGTCAAGCTGTAACAGACTGTCAATCTGAAAGTGTTTATTGTTCACTTGATACATCACATAAGTTAAAACACTGAAGTTCCTACTACAGTGTAGGTAACCACACCCCCTAGAATGCTTCAGAAGCCCTAAGCGTCCGTACAAAGATGCATCCCACAGCTCCAGCTCAAAGCCACACAAACTCAAGTCCAGGGCCCAGACTTCCCTGGGGGGGCAGCTGCTTGGGAACACTGCTCATGCCTTCGGAGCCTACCTTGCACATCTCCAGAGCGCATCCAAAGTTGATTTTTCAGCTTGCCAAATGGTTTCCTCAAGGAGATGGCAAAGATCTGCTGCTCACACAGTTTAACCAGGTTTGATAGGGGATTTAGAGAGCTCTGCACTTGAAAAGGTCTTCTACTGAAGAATGGGTAAAGTTTAGGGGCTCTGAGAGTCATCTAAGCAAGTTTGCCATTTAATAAGTAGCTTCCAAATTGCTATTAATTGTGCCCCCACCACTGATGAACGATTTGATCTTCTTGTTCAGTCACTAGGGTCCTATTACTGCATTCTTCCCAACGTCTCACCTTCCCATTCTCCACCAAGATAAATTTCCACTCTACTTTGGTGTCTACTGGCAGCACAATGGCTGCAGACCAGAAGCCATCCTTGTCATATCTGAGAGGCACGTAGCTGTGCCACTGGCCCAGACACTCGTGGTCCCCAGTAACACCGAGCTGCTGAGCATCAGAGTGTGTGATGTAGTGGACACGGAAAGTCACGTGGATATTTTGAAACATGGGGGGCACAGCTGCAACCCTCTTTGCTTTGGAGTCCCCATCAGGGCAGTCTCCTTGTTCCCATTCCTTGCTGTCAGAGTCTTCCACACTGCCATGCTTGCCAGCCTCCTCCCAGGCCAGGTGCTCAGGAACAACTTCCCACTCCTCACGGTCCAAACCGCAGCTCTCAGCGCGCTGACCCGGCTGCTCTTCACTTCTGTCCTTAGAACCATCCTTGGAAGCTCCTGCCAGGTCCATCACACACCACCCATCGCTTGCCCGCCCCGCCTGGGGGCTGGGCTGGCCTCGCACATCAGCGGGATGCTCCGTGGCACCGGGGGGGCCCGGCTGCCCCGGGACCGGCTGCCCCGGGACCATGTGGGTAAATTCCAACTAAATGTCACAAGCTGGAACTGAACAATATGTAAACCACCAAAGCGCATGGATATAGGGAAGCAGGATCCTTGTAAGGACATTAATATAGGCATTGCTATTAAAAATACCTTTGATTGCCTACCCCAGGGAATGTGGGGGCTTTGTGGGGATGGAGTGGCCAGAAAGGCATTGCCTTTGAAATGGAAGGGGGAATGTGGAATAGGGTACCCCACCCCACAAGGGAATATATTTAACCATTCAGCTTTACAGGGAATCTTACGTACACCTTGGATAATAGTAAAAAGAGCAATGAATCCACTAGTAGAAAGGGGAACGGGTTTTCATAGCTTTGTTCAGTGGTTCCTTCCCTGGCTAGGAGTAAGCGATTTGGGAAAAGGCTCATGTATTACACCTGGTGGCCCAGGACAATACTTCTTGGGAATTTACAGGGGTATGGGAGAAACTTACTTCATAGCTTCCTAACTTTGCTTGGCTGAGACAACTGTTTATGGTGTTAGTGGGGCTATTAATTTTTGGGAACTCTAACCTGTGTACTGTTAAAATGTTCTCTCTGGTGCTCTCAGAGCACTGGAGATACCTATGGTAATTGGAAAGCATCACTTGCATCAAAAGTTGGAATCTAACAAATATTTTCAAAAGATGCTTGACAAAGAATCTATGTATTAGTGTAAAGTAAAAGAATTTACTAATTATATAGAAAAGGGGGGAACTGATCTGAGGAAAGCCAGATGGCCTCCCTTGGTAGAAAGGACTAACACATAAGGAGTAAACAGGAGGGCACTGCTCAGCATAGATAAGGCTTGGAATGCATAGATAAGGCCTGAAGTGTGAAGGAAGGGATTGTGTGGGAGGATGCTCCCACAGAAACTTGCAGAGAAGACAAGACCCTGGTGCAGACCCCAGAAAGGAATGCCAAGAGGTGAAAAGTGCACAGCGAGGAAGACATACGGCCTTCATCCCAAAGACCCCTGCCCACGACCACCAGAAGATACTGCGCAAGTGCAACAAGGAGGAGCTCGGGGGGCAACTATGCTAATGATTAATTGTAATAACCCCTCCCTATCCTCGGACACCTAATGTATATGCAGCAGTATAGATGAATATGTATTACTTTGTGGCATATAATGACCTTGCCAATAGTCCTAGGGTGTGCAGCTTGTGGAGGAGCGATCCCCCTGCACCCAGCGCTGAATAAACATACCTTCTTTATAACCTTATTGGTTCTAAAGTCGTGATTCCGCACGTCAGGGAAAACACCAAAAGTTGAAAGGTTCGGCTGCTTCACAGAACCGCAGCGCGTCAGAGGTGGGAAGGGACCGCGGAATCACAGAATCTCACCCCTTGGTTCTTGTGGCCCTTCCAACTCTAGGAGTTCTTGAAAAGCTCATGGAGCAGGGAGACCTCTGCCTGCTGAGAGCATTTGCAAAGCGTGTTAACAGGAATCACAGCATCCCAGGGGTTGGGAGGGACCTGGGAAGCTCCCCCAGCCCAGCCCCCCTGCCAGAGCAGGGGCACCCAGAGCACATCACACAGGATCCAGGGGGGTTTTTACTATCTCCAGCAAAGGAGTCTCCACAGCCTCTCTGGGCAGCCTGGCCCAGGGCTCTGTCACCCTCACAGCAAACAAGTTCTTCCTGAGATTCACACAGAACCTCCTGTGCTCCAGTTTGCACCCACTGCCCCTTGTCCTGTCACTGGGCATCACTGAAAAACGCTTCATCACTGAAAAAAAGATCATCGAGTCCAACCCCCCTGCCGGAGCAGGACCAGAAAACCTTCTCACCCCCCGGGCCCCCCGCTCGCCGCCGCTTTTCTGCCATCTCTGCCTGTTTTTCCCCCCTCCTTTGTCCTCGCCCTGTCCCTCCCGGCGGGGCCGCCGGGCCGGGGCCCGCGGGCGGGGGGGAAGCCGGCGGCGCCTGCCACAGGGAAGGGAGCTGAACGCAAAAAGCTGGGGACTGAATGCCTGAGTTTCTTGGCTGCTTCTGCACGAAGGAAAGCCCAGCAGCTGAGCCTGGTTGTACTTTTCAGGGGGGCACTGCTGACAATCCAGGCTTTCCCTCCTAGCCCGGAGAAGTGAGATGAAATCACTACTAATTTTGTAGCTTCTGCATCATACTGTAATGACTACAGTTGGATTTCTTAACGTTGTCCTGCTCTCCTGTCTTCCAAACTATGCTCGGGAGGCTTGGTTTGGACTGCCAGGGATTCCGAGTCCATTAGTGCAGAGGATATTTGATCTTTATTTTAATTTACCTCCATCTTAGTCCCCGATTTTCCTCTTGAAGTCATTATGTAAAATTTTTACTTCAAACATAAAAGGTTGTAACAGATAAATCTTACTAGGAAACCAAGAAACTTAATGACTTTGTATTTTGAATTGGGAATTCTGAAGCGACAAGCTGTAAAAATGTTTACTAGTGTAGAGTTTTAACAGCAAAGATTAACACCAGAGAAGGAGTCGGGGGAGGCAGTTCCATTCAGTTTCAACTGCTGCCTGATTTAAAACCCATCATCTGTACAAAGGGGTTGCCATTACATGATTTCTAAAGGCCGCTGATGAGCTTGTATCCCCTATCTCATTTAGAAAAGAGAATGGCTAAGTGGATGTCCCAGTAAATCTTTTTCCAGTGTGTGAACTTCTTAATCTCTCAGTGTCATTCAGAGCAGTGCTAGCTCAGCTTAACAGCACAGTAAATGTCACTCGAATTTATAGAAGCACAAGTGTGCAGTCTTCACAGGGAAGTTCCCTGCTTGACATGGTATATACTGGCCTGTGCAAATGCACAGAATTCATAATCTAAATATTTTTTCCTTTGCTTACCACAGTAGCTAAGGCACCTCCTCTGAAGGCCTCCTCCAACCGAGTGCTGAGCTTCTGCCAAAGTAAAACTATCTATTTTGGTGCTTTGGTGTGTGGGATGCACTCAGGCATCTGCTAAACATGCACTGCTCAGATCTTCTGCCCAATAATACACTGAAAGAGCTGAAAAGTCAGGACCCGCCTGAGCACTTTCTCAGTGACTGTGGTTTTGAGTGCACTCTCTTTTAGCACTGTTGATGCTTCAAGGTGTGGCTTAGCCTTGCTGCTTAAAACAGACACTTGACTGTAATGAGTTGTGAGAGCTACTGAAGGAGATGATGTTTTCTCAGCTTACTTATATTCCATTTTCCTAGCCTTCGAAACACAGACAGTCCCATGCTCTGTCTTCAGACACCACCTTGCTCAGCTGGGATTATCAGCTAGGACACCTACATACTACTGTTCTTGAGGTAGGATTTGTGTGCTGCATTTTACAATTCCTAGGCATCTTCCTGAAGCAGAGCAGACAAAAATCACTAGTTATTGTATCATTACACTAAGAGAGCACCCTTCTGCCAGCCCTCAGCACAGGTGAAGAGGTAGTTTTCTATTTCTTTTTTTAAAAAAAAACAGGGTTCTTGGACAATACCAAGGCTGAAATTCCTGAGGGTCTGATTGCCTGTGAAGTGTTAGAAGCAGAGATGCTGGGAAGAGAAGTGAGAAGAGTCAGGGCCCAAGAGCTCACGGGGTGCTGAGGACTGAGGTTCCTGTTCTGAAGCAGATGGCAACTTACCCCTTGGTTTTTGTGGCCCTTCCACTCTAGGAGTTCTTGAAAAGCTCATAGAGCAGGGAGACCTCTGCCTCCTAAGAGAATTTGCAAAGCATATTAACAGAAATCACTGAATCACAGAATCTCAGGGGTTGGAAGGGACCTGGAAAGCTCCCCCAGCCCACCCCCCCTGCCAGAGCAGGGGCACCCAGAGCACATCACACAGGAACTTG